GGCGAGTCAGCAGCAGGCGAGTCAGTCAGCAGCCGCCACCAGCGAGCACATACATGTTACATGCTCGCGGAGGTATGCACTCTCCGTGAGTGCCCTCGGTCTAGTTGTAGATAGTTTTAGTTTAAATAGGAGAAGGGTTGGGCGTTTAGCATATAGGTTAGAAATAGTTGGGTTAGAAACAGCCTAGGTTGGGGACAGTTAGGGGGCAGTTAGCAGACAGATTACAAACGATAGGTGGCATGGCTACAGGTGCTGGACACATGTACCGGTTGGCGCGTAAGACGAATGAGAGTTGTGCGTGATTGGTTGTGCAGAGTAGAGCTTGTTGGTGATTGGACGAGTCATATATATAGATAGAGAGCGTTTTGAACGGGACTGGAATGCGGAGTTGGAACTGGGAGACGTGACGTGACATAGTGACTGTTTGGTTTGTAAACAATATATTTCTTTAGTTGAACACAAATTCTATACTTCTTCTTGATTATTTCACTCTAAATTTATTTCATACAAACACGTCTTTACACAACTGTTGACGCACGCACGGACTGACAATCACGCGATTCTACAATCTGCATCGGACTACGTCAGATGAGCTAAAAATTGAAGAACGCTGATGTGTAGCCGCCAGTGAGCGCCTTACATAACGGTGCAGATTCTTACTATATGCGCATATATAATCAATATTAAACAAGTTGGGTACAGTTCAAATATGTATATTTATTATCTACACTTATATAGTAATATTTTTACATAGCAACACATTTGCTTAAGTATTTTTTTATTATTCTCACATACCAATCAATGCAAGTTCTTATACATATTATATAGAAATTCGACAAATTCTCAAAAATGCCCGCAATACAATTCACACGAATTACATTGAAAACGAGAGGAAAGCTATGCCTTAACCATGTCAAAACGTTGACGGCATTGCAGCGACTAATCCAGAGCAATCGATAAATCCATACACATTAATATAATCAATCAGTCTCCCAAATAAACCAATGTGCGTGTGGAAAAAGGTCATCACTTGTTGGCACGCGACTTCCAAAAATCACACTAGCCTCTTATTACTGCACACACAAACCAATCTCACTCCCCAAGCCAAACTACTATCGAATAGCGCTATACACAGATGAGAATGCTCACTAGCAATTGATTAACCAAGACACGAAAAAGCAAGCATACGCAAATCATAGATGGACGTATCTACGTGGTTATGGCGTGTCACACACACGCGCGCACCACGTGTACGACTTTGCCGCATGGTCGCATGGTTTCCTTTGCTTCAAAACAAAACAAAAACCCAGCACAACTGTTTTCCACGATCGACTTAGCTCCGATCTCTTCCGGTTAACGACGCGAAAAAATGATCTAATCACATACGAAAATAAATAGATTTACACATCCGTTATTCTGCGACATTGACGGCAAAAGTGTGGATACGACGAGGATTTCAACGCTGCTAAATGTCGCACACTTCTGCGTTCTTGCAACGCATTCATTCCGTCATGCCTGCATGTCCGTTACCGAACGGACGCGCGCATGTGTGTTACACAGACGTCGGGCGACGGAGTAAAGAAACACGAAAATGCGACAAATACGCGCTCATGCCACGCTTCATACCACGCTTCACCATGATCAACCGAATACTATATACACACGCACACGCACGCGCGTGCGCAACTCGCTTACATCGACATCACCCGGTTTGGTCTCAGAGATTTACAGTCATTTATTTATTTATAAAAAAATAGCTGCGACGCGCGCGCTCGCACGAAGCAAAGCAACGGCCACACGAGGTATGCGCGCGACCGTGGCGACCTCTGCCGTGTGAAACCATTCTCTGCACGAGACGATACTGTCATTGGAAAACGCAGAAGAAAAGGAAGATAAATCATGTAGGCATCTATTCGAGTCACGACACTGGGTGGGAACCGGAACCCGAAACTAGCACGCGTGAACACTGACCGCAGCTTGCGTAGAGCGGCGCGCAGTGACGCACGATCGTGTCGTCAACGTAACGACCGAATTATCACCATCTAGATAGTTCCACGACTGAACAGCACCTAACGCCCCCAACAGACTAGCCTGACAGTATTAGTACAAGGATAAGCACGCGGTGAGTGCACACTTCACTTGCTTTATACCTACGTCTCACAAGTCGATCGGTTTCCACGGTGATACCGCGTACGTATATACATTGCTTTTTAAAGGTAAGCAGAATAGCGAATCAAGAGAGCATAGGAAACGAATTCGAGTCTCTTGCCACATGATATGCTTACGTTATTTCATTTTGTTACGAAACTTAGAAGTCAATGGGTTCTTCCTTGCCACGAGCAAGGGTAGCTTATTGATGAAGAAGTATGAACAGTGGTCGGGCAATGATACTATATCATTACACTCACGATATATTCACACTAAATATGGTGCACCGTTACGACTAAATTAGGTTGCACACGTGAACGGGTACAAACAGTGCAAAACAGTTTAAAACTAAGCGCTAACGAACTCGCATTTTCCAAAATTCGTTTGAAAATCCACAACATGAGAGCATGACCTATGTATGTATAATATTGCCCCCCTCCCACCTCTCTTCTTCACACCCACTCACATACACACAAACACAATCTCTCACACACTCTCTCACTCTACTGCTATAGCCACAATATAATACTCAAAACTATGTACATTACCTACGTGTATCACATACTATAAACAGAAACTTCAGCCAAGTCTGTTACTAGATGTACACGGTACACGCATGTGACATTATGGACACAGCATATATACCATCTAGTTAGACACCAGTCTTCCGTAACAACCACAACTACACACGCATGAGCAAAAACTCCACGTCAATTTCATAAAATAGCCCTCTGCCTCTGCACACACAAACATATTGGAAGATTCTAGCCTGCTCAGGACAACACCCCCTTCCCTCCCATATCAACTGAACCGTACTGTTTTCAATATAGCTACCCGTGCGGGCACGCGCGCGCGCGCACACACACACACACAATCAAATGAAAAAATATGGATTTAACCTTTCGATAAATAAGGGTGAATGACAATATCACAAGCGGCGTGCAGTGCCTAGTGTGTTTCTAATTCTACTGCACGTGTCGCCATACGATCATCTATATTTGCGTAATAACTAATTAATATACTCTCAACCACTGTCGTCTGCCTCTACTACTGCCACCGCTCGTTTTCCCCCCTACACAAACACACTACTCCCTCCCTGCTTTCATGATTGGCCCGCAGACTGATGATTACCACAGGAACGCTCTAGACCAGTGGTTATTAACCCTTTTTGAGTCATGGACCCCTTTGAGAATCTGGTGAAAGCTACGGACACCTTCCCAAAAAAATGCACATAAACACAAAATTCTGCATGCGCCTGGTTCACAGGCCCCCTGAAGCCCATCCACGGACCCCAACGGGGTCCATGGACCACAGGTTAAGAACCCCTGCTCTACACGAACATGCAGCCATGATGGGATGGATACTTCCCAGGGCAACACCGGCGTGCCCCTCCACGAACGTAATAAGTCTCAGGGAAAGAGATCTTCCAGTTATCCTTCTAAATATGCCCGTCAAGTGCATGCACTGTCATCGACAAATCACTGAGAGGGGAGAGACATACACGCACGCACGCACGCACGCACGCACGCACGCACGCACGCACGCACGCACGCACGCACACACACACACACACACACACACACGTGCACGCGCGCACACACGCACGCGCGCGCACACACACACGCACACTCACACACACACATCAGAGAAGTACGAAGCTACGAAGAAATAAATCGAGGACGAAATTCGCTATCGAACAGAGAACGAGAAATAGTAAAAAGCACACATTGTAGTGAATCGTCTCTCTCTCTCTAACGCACACGCCTCCCAGTCTCTGGCTCATGTATTTACAGATATTTACAGCGACTGCCACGATTATAACCTCATGACGATACCAGTGACAGCCCATCACCCATCGAACTCGCAACTGCCCCCCATTCCTCCCCACCCACGCGTTTTTTTTTTTAGCTTTTCGTATTTATTATATCTATATATATCTTTACATAAGAAAATGCATATTCTGGATTTGAAGTGTCGCGCGCGAGGTGAATGTTTCCTTCTGTCTCGTCAATACGCGCGTACGACTTCGCGTAGAAAACTATAAGAGACCTGTTGGCGTGCCCTTCGACATATAGAACTCTTTACACACCACCGTGAGTGTCGGCACAGATAACGCTGCTACAGCATGGTACAAGTCCACCCCATCACATAACGCTCCCTTCTACATTGGGCACATGGGGAAAAAAGGTCAAACCAAGAGCTAACAATACCTATACGTAGTAGCATATATTATTATAGGTATTATTAGCTCTTGGTTAAATCCCATGCGCATGCGCAATGCACCTTGGTGAATACGTCAATGTCCATGCGCAATGTGAAGGGGGGGGGGTTGCCATGGGGGGTGTGTATACCACGCTATGCCATCAGTAGATGGCACCTTACTGCGCAGGAGGAGGTACGTGCGAGGTCGGGTGTCTTTCTCGTCTCCCACGTCACCACGTACACAGCCGAGTACTGCAACCTGTCTCTGTTCGCACCGACTACGACCCAGGATCATAACTGAAAAACGACCTCTTCGCCTCCCTCCCCCCTCTCTCTCCCTCTCGCCCTCACCGACTCTCTCCGGCATATGAAGGACGACTTATTTACAAAAATATATTAGAAGCGATTATTGTAAGTAGAATATGCTCTCGCCTTATTATTACTGGTCCGTGCTCGAAAGAACGGGGCGTACCACTAGCACCCGGGAATACAAGCACACAGTGGTGCCCCCGTCTCTCGCTAGGCATCTCACGCTATACACCAAACACTTGCGTTCACTCGATTCGACGTGCATGGAAGCGCAATACGACGTTACCTGTTCATGTTCGATTCCGGCCAACAATGGCGCGTCAGTGATTCGGGAAATCGACAGCACACGACAACGCCAGGCTCACTTTTGGTTCAAAGCATAAAGCTGTATCAAAACATGATTATATAAGATTCTCGGTTATAATATAGATAGACGGCTACGATAATTCGTTTCAAACTTTGATGAAGATAGATCCCTGAATGCGTAGTTGAACCGGGGTCCTATTAAAAAAGCCATACTGGAGGAGTTGGTATGAAATTGTTAGATTATGGGAGAAACTACATGAGTGTTTTGATGAAATAATGCAGCGGTATTAATTACATATATATATTTATATTCCCTGTTAGATAACGGCACAGCTGCGAGTTCCGATTGCGCCGAATTAAATGTCTTCTAGGTTTCTTTGGTGAGTTTTATGTAGCCTATCAAGAGTAGATAATAACACAAGAGTGAGACAACCGATTCCCGCATTTTTAACCGTTTTTTCTCATCAAAATTTGCCACCAATTAAGAAGCAAGTGTATACGTTCCTCAGCTTATTATGACCACTAATCACTCACCTTCATGGTACTGATATTCGTTTACATATATTTGCTAGCGTATTGCTGTAAATCGTAATCTTGCACGAGCTGAATTCGATAAATTTACCGCTAAAATGGCGACTTGTTGCGAGCTGTTTAGACAGTTTAGACATTATTAGAAGCTATCGGTGCGCCAATATTTAGCAACGGACGGTTTCCAAATCATGCGTGCCCCGATAGGGGTTTAATGTACTTGATTACCTGCGCGTGCGTAATGTGATACTTACTGCAAACTACTACAGAGAATATTGTTATTATTGTATTATTACTTATGTAAGATAGTATGTCAATTTCTTGTGTTGCGATCACAATAACTGAGCGCGTCTCGCAGGTTCTTCACGAGATCAAAATTCGAAATTTAGATTGTCTCTCAACCCTATCGGGGCACGAATGATTTGGAAACCGTCCGTTGCTAAATATTAGCGCCCCGATAGCTTCTAAATAATGGCTAAACAGGTCACAACAACAGCGGTAAATCGTGCGAATTCAGCTCGTGCAAGATTACGATTTACAGCAATACGCTAGCAAATATATGTAAACGAATATCAGTACCATGAAGGTGAGTGATTAGTGGTCATAATAAGCTGAGGAACGTATACACTTGCTTCTTTATTGGTGGCAAATTTTGATGAGAAAAATCGATTAAAAATGCGGGAATCGGTTGTCTCACTCTTGTGTTATTATCTACTCTTGAGCCTATGCATGAAGGGAGCAATATATCTGTTTTGTCTACTCGTATATCACACTTTCACACCACATGCACGCATAAACACACGCACACACACACACACACGCACGCATGCACACACACCCGCACACACTGGTCCACAAGCACACAGTCTTGAAGCCAAATATAGCCACACACGCACGCTGCAGACACATACACGTAGATGCACGACGTAGGCGTATTTATCTAGGGGAACTTGCACACTTGGAAACGTCAGTGATTGATAACAAAACGTGGAGCGTGCACTATGCCCCACGGTGGCTAGAAAAAACTCACACGAGTATAGATGGGTGGTGGTATTCAAAAGATGCCATCCAAACACTAAACCTGACGGTTTTCATAACCACTGCAGTGCCAGTAGTAGTAACATATACGACCTGTGTTAGTAAAATCTGTAATACTTGCACTGGCATGTAAACAAGTGTCCAACAAGCGAACGACTATTTTTCGGAGAGCCTGTTTATACTCTAGTTCTGCAGTTTGGTGAAAACCTCCTCAAGGTCCATAAAAATTGCAGCATTGTTCGACGATGCTGACAATGATGTCTGACCGATGGCTAGTGCTCGCAATCGTGTATATGCACCTTCATGGCACTTTCTTAAACTTTCACCGAGAGCACAGGCAGGGTACACGAAAGATAGCGATTCTCTTGTTCAACGGACATTTGACGTAAGTAATAGCGGCAAACACTGAGAGCTGGTCTGTGAGCTTTGACGCGGGGTACATCACATACACACGACCCACAAGAGGGTACCACTCACAAGAATTACAGACCGCCCGCCACGTGTGCCACCATGATGAGATCGGGTCACACGAACTACCACACACACGTGAGAGCCACCTATAGGGTGACTCTTTACTGGCCACGGCACGCCACCTACAAGAGCACTTGCTGCCCGACCCATGCAACAACCACACGAGTGCTACTCGCTGCCTCACAAGTGTGCCACCTACAGGAGCCCAGCTCAGCGACCGCGGCAAGCCAGCGCCACCTACTGGCGGACTACTCGCTGACCGATACACGGCACAGGCACACCACCTACAGGAGCGCTGTGTATTGTCCGCTGCACGCAGGCGCCACCTACAGTATTACTATTTACTGTCCACTGCATACTGGCACCACCTACGGGAGTGCTGCCCGACACGTGCGCCACCTACGGGCACACGGCAGTCGAGGAGAACCAAACCCGCAAGCTCGCCCCGTGCCGCGGCTTGATCATCGTCGGTCGTTGCCACGACGACGGTACCATTTTCCTACGCGCGCGCCATCACTGCACTAGCGCCTCAACGGGGGACGACCCGGCCGCCGCCGCCGCCGCCCCCGCTCCGGGGAACAGTCCCGCAGCCGCCGCCGCTACCGCGCTCGTGCTAACCATGCTCGACGCCGGCTCCGACGACGACACCGACGACACAGACACCTGAATCTTGTCCAGCACCTCTCCACCGCCGCCGCCGCCGACGCGCGGCCTTTTCGCCGGGGGCTCGTACGCCTCGCCGCGGTGATCGACAACGACGGGGGCGCCCCCTGGCAAGCGCGCCGCGTAGTTCTCGCCGCTGCACGTCACGATGGTCGGCGACGCCGTGTGCACCCCGGCGGGCGTGGTGGACGCCGGCGCCCCCGCGGCGAAGGCGGGGGAGTCGACGACGCCCGACTGCGACTTCACGAGGTCGTGGATGATGCCGGTGAGCTCCTGCGGCGATATGTTGCGGATGCTGTCGACCATCTCTGACGGCGCCACCTGGCTGTGACTCGAGCCGACGGCGGAATCCTGCAGGAGAACGTCGGGCTGCGGCGCGGCGGCGACGGAGCCCGACCGCTCGACAGCGGCGCCCTCTGCGTTTTTCTCGAGGTTTCCGTAGACGAGCGTGTGCAGGGAGGGACTGGCAGAGCAGTCCCGTTGGAGCATTCCGGGATTCTCCTGTTCGTCCAGGAATCGGTCCATGTAGTCGCTGCAAAGCCACAAAACGTTGTTAGCGAATGTTTGTGAATGTGGCGACATAGCGTATTGTATGTACGTCACATTTTTCGAGTACAGATACTTTCGCGATTTCAGACTTGACGGACAATTTCGCGGTCGGTGAATTCTGAATTATTTGGTATTATTTGGTATGAATTATTCGCGTGTTGTTATTTCCGCGTTTGCGAAATTCGCGAACATTAAACCACACAAAATATACAGCGTATACAGTACCATCTACTAGCTAACTTCTATTCCTGCTGTTACTGGTATTTTTGCTGCTGCAAAATTTTGAACTGAAACAATATCTATGAGTTTTGTGCATCATGTCAACAGCAAAACCAAAACATTGTTAGCAAATGGTCCGCCAAGCGAGAAGTTGTAAATGTGATATTGCGTGTTTTATAAAGTGAATGTTGTGTGACAGCATACATCCAACTTCTACTCCTGCTGCTACTGTAACTATTGCTGCTACTGTTACTATTGCTGCTACTGTAACTATTGCTGCTACTGTAACTATTGCTGCTACTATTACAGTGTGTTACTATTGCTGCTACTGTAACTATTGCTGCTACTGTTACTATTGCTGCTGCTGGTATTTCTGCTGCTGCAAAATTTTGAACTGAAACAATATCTGTGAGTTTTGTGGAGCATGTCAACTTCTAAACACGAAGTTGATATATACAGCCTGAGTACATAAATGCTTAAATTTTCCTGCGCTACATCTGAACGCATCTGTAAGAAGGAAACAACGAAAGAAGAGCATAGTAAAGCCTTCAGCTAGAGACTCACGTGATGCCGGGATGTAGCGCGTACTTCTTCTTCTCCAGCCTCACTTTGTTCGCAAACATGTCGTGCCTCTCCGTCTTCTTCCACAGGTAGTAGAATGTCACTAGTTCGGCGACGGATCGAGTTCGTACCTACACGCAACGCAGCCATGTTAAAGGATAAGTACTGAAGTATCGAACTTTTAAACCTCAAAATAAGTTTAATCAGTTGGAAATAGGGTACATTTTATACCCATATATCTACCTACCCATTGAAGCCATTGAGAAAGATCGAGGCAGAGTTGGAATAACCAAGATTATTGCTTGATGGTAGCTCAAGTTACGCACAGGCAAAGATGAACATCGTGCATACATCTTGCACGAATCAACCTTCGTAAATACCTTACCTTGTTCTGTTGAATCGCATGGAAATCCTTGCCATATATCCGGAGGCCATTTTCGAAATGTCGACACTCCTCCTCCGACCACAAACTGAGCGTGTCTGCAGGAGAAACGGAGACAGCATGCTCAATAATTGTGCTCGCATTCATTCCCCTGATTCAGGAATATTGAAAGGCAGGTCGGACACCTTACCATCCGGAATTATCCGAGCATCGAACACAGGAGTTCAACCCAATGGCAATCCATAGAGTGTAAACAAGTAAGCAATGGCACGTAAACTAATAAACAATGGCAAGTAAACTAATAAACAATGGCAAGTAAACTAGTAAACAATGGCAAGTAAACTAATAAACAATAGTAAGTAAACTAGTAAATGAGGGTTATCAACAGTCATAGGAAGTATCACTGTCAGTTGATATTCAATACATATGATGTTATACGAGTTAAAGCGATCATTGCGAGTTGTTTTCAGCGTTTTTTAGTGTTTATTCTCACTCTCATGATGCCTACCGTTGTTGCTTGAGTAACAGTAATTGTTTGAAATAACAATAAAATGTCTTAGAACCACATGCAAAGACAAAATCATGCACAATTACAATTTTGCGTTCTCTTGTTGATTTTCGCTGTCATGTCTCGCACTTTCTCGCGGTACCGCGAGACGTCAACAAGGGTACAGTAATGCAAAAATCGCACCGGAGATATTTTTGGTCAGATGTAAATACAGAGGTGCATAGTAGCGTAACACAAACAAGAGTGTAAGTTGTAACCTCATAAATATTAGTCTTCAAAAGTCTTAGGGACTATAACGAAGACGGAGAGGGAAGTGGATCAAATCCTCGTTGCGTACCGCCAGCGAGAATACTTATCACACACAAATAGATGCTCCTTTGTTTTAATTATGTTCGCTTGTTTGAGGCGCCATTTGTGATTTTTGAAAGTCCTGACTTGAAAAAATGTATTGCTGGTATGATGTGGTCAAATCAATTTTTCTATGCTATAACTGCATAAATATTGGTGTTTTGAATGTTGGTGTAATCAGTGATATTTTCGCTGTCAGGTGAGACTATATTCAGCTATATTTAGTTTTTCTGAGCAAAATTCTCGCAATGATCGTTTTAAGGACCTGTGTGAGACGGCCACGGCAGTCTAACAATTTCATTTCTTACAAACCTTGCAGAAAAACCAATACACCCAAAGACACAACAAACACTGAAAGCAGCTCAATTTCTAGCACAGCAGTTTTTGAATGCGTTGGTGTGGGTTAACGAAAGTTCATCTACATTTGCAGCCACACAATAGTTTCAGCAAAGTGCGAGCAACAGACAAGAAGCATTGTTTATGGATAGCAACTGGTAAAATGCGAGTTCTGGCACTCTTCCACGCCAAACAGTCGTCGCAGCACATGCTCGGAATATTTTCTAACCAGATCGGCTAAGCGATAACACTCCTTAGCCAGCTACAAAAGCCTTGTGTTTCAAATCCCTACACTTAGAATTCGCTAGTTGCACCCCCCCTTTCAAGTAGCAATTTCAGAATCCCCTGCAATGCCTGCCTCCCCACTGCAACATCGTGCCTCAAGCAACCACTCCTCTGCATAATTTTCATGGCACGAGTGAATGGAGACCTTCAGTGACCTTCAAGTGTTACCTTTCGATTGTCCTTCCCACTCAAGCATCGTCTCCCTGCCCTGCGCTTCTCCCTGACCCCTCTTAGAATCTCCATGCACGAACTTTTCGAGAGACAACTCTGCAATATTGCAAACGTGGGACACCCTATTCATATGACTAACAGCGACACTGCAGCCTGATCCCCTTCATCCTCCAGCGCCACCTACAAAACCTATGCAGTGACCGTAGTGCCATCTATACAAAATTCCTAGCAGCTACAACAATAGCATCTCTCGCAGTGCTCACCTGCATGTAATCGGTCCGTTGTACGAATACTCAAGAAGTCATGACGAAACGATTTCTCATATGTTACCTACCACCTTACCACTTCGTAGAAATCATGCCGATTTGTAATTTCTGATTACAAAATATCATGGTATTTCTTACTCCCCAATTACATGCATGTAGTTAAACCATTCCCTAAAATAAATTGACATAACCATCATTCCAACTAACACAACACGCCCAAAAACACGGGCAAGAAGCATATTTGAAGAGCACACCCGGGTAGGCATCACAGGGTCTGGGTTCCACATAACCGAGGCCATGTTACAAATGAATCGTTAGTGACAAACGGAATTCGTAAATCATTGAAATTTCGGGCAGGGCATCGCCGCAAACGAGAAATCGCTTCGGCACACGCGGCAGGACAGAGCGGCGCACGCAACGACAACGGCGGCGGCCGTGCTACAGCGGCGTCGGTCTTGTGTCGCGCGGCGGCGGTGCTACGTACCGGTGGGCGGGACGGGCTGCATGCGGCGACGTCGCAGCGCTTCCTCCAGGTTGTGCGCGCACTGCAGCAGCGTGTAGAGCGCCTGCTCATCGTCCCGCACGTGCGTGCACGCGGGCAGCGCGCCGCCGCCACCGCCCTGCGGAGGGCTCTCCGGGTCCTGAACGTGAGCCAGATACGTCTCGACTGCAACGAACACAATATGTATCGTCAACGTGTTCCAACGAATGTTATACAACACGTGTCCCACGAATGTCATGTACTGTCAATGTGTGTCCCAACGAATGTCATGTACTGTCAACGTGTGTGTCCCAACGAATGTTATGTACCAACAATATCTATTGACGTATGTCGCACACCATCAACGTCCGACAACAACACTCGACCTGCGTCTACATTCAAGAATTAAATGTCACACAATGTCAACGTCTCAATGGCAACTAACAATGGGCTTATGAACGTCACATCAGCCAGTAATTTTACGAGAGTCATAACACGATAAGCTAATACATGCAGGCATTACAGCAATGCAAAAGCAACTTACTCTGTTTCTCCTCCAAGGCAACGGGGTCCCATAATAGCTTGTCCTCATTTTCGTACGCTGAAAATGAGTACAGATCGATTAGAATACAATATCAGAAAAACCAGAGAGAAGAATTCTGGCTGTTGTAATTCTCAGTTGCAAACAACTCCCCCCCCCACCAACACACACACACACACACACAAATATAATACACAGGAAGTAAAACTGAATATAACTTTACTAACGAATGACACACTTATTATTCTTTTCCCCTCTTACCCCTCTCTCTTGCTCTCACTTTCACTCTCAATCTGGCTCTCTCCCTTCTCCATCTCTCTTTCTCTCTCAATTCCCTCACTTTCTCGCTATCGCTCGCTGTCCTTTCTCTCTCCGCTCAGATTCATTGCAGACGCGGGCGACATTGTTACCTGGCGCATCTCCGTACTTGCACAACCCATCTGGAATCTGCGCCTGGAAGCAGGAGCCGACCTGGATTGTCTTCTTCCAGTCTCCCTCCGTCGGCTGGTAGTCCTCATCGTCGGACTCCGACGACGATGAACCAGGCTCCTGGTACGTCTGGCTGCTGCCGAACGTTGCTGAGGGGAGAGGAGTGAATAGCGTTAGCGTGCAGACGCTCACACAGGGGTAGAAATGAACTTTTGAACAAGCGAGTCCAACAGACTCCCTACTATCAAAAAGAGGGAGTCCGCAGCAAAATGAGGGAGTCCACAGTATACAAGTAGTACCGCAGATATTAACAAAAAGGACATTTGCGATGCACGTCTACCAAATTTTCTTGAGACATTTGCTAAATAATTTGCTAGATATTTGCTTAATTTGCTATTTGTAATTCCGCGAGGCCGTGCTTTGGAACAAACTAGTTAGTATAGCAGAATTTTCAGGAGTCACACAGACTCCTGCATACAGGCATATATGTTAAATCAGGGAGTCCGACAGTAAATCAGGGAGTATTTGACTCCGGACTCGCATTAATTTCGCACCCAGCTCACACACCGCAGAAACGCCGAGCTGACGAGAGGTAACCGATATTGCCAATCGTCGCAGAGCTACCGGCTATTTTCGTGGGAGTAAATTCGCGGACGACTGATGCAGGCAATTATTGATGAATCCAGGGGTCGAAATTAGCGGTATCCCGATATCCGCGGGATAGTAGATTCTTGTGTTGGATACCAGATCTCAATGCTTGGTATCCTGCTGGTGAGTCAAGGGTATTAATTTTCAAATGCTATTGTATTGCATATTTCAAGATTTTGGATACCAACATTGTTGAAATTACTATTCAAAAAATGGGATACCAGATCTTTGGGGGGGATACCAGATTTCAATACCTGGTATCCTGAATGGATACCATAATAAAAATCTAATTTCGACCCCTGGAATCCCGCGGAAAGAAACGCTTATACTTATAGGTTCGAGTATCGCGGAACTATTAATATCGCAAAAATTATAGTTGCCCAATCTTTGCTAAAGTACCGACTGATTACCTAGAAATAATTACTGGAGCATTCGTTGCCCAATCAAGTGGAAACGAGTCTCCGTTTGTTAGACAAAGAATTACCGGTTAATCGACATAAACATAACTTTATAATGAATTTTCAAAATCATAAGAAACACATAAGATAACACAAACACATCAAGAGTATACTGAGATCATATATTAGCCTCAGCAAACTGTTAAATATACACATAAACGGCAATAAATACGCACATCGCAATAGCCGACTTGTGTTGTGGACAGGTACGCTGTTTAGTAATTCGTTAACGCTGGTCTCTTTGTCGTGGTCCTCGTCCGTTAGCAGGTCCCTAGCAACTTCATCCTTGTCTAAAGTGAGATCCTAAAAAACATACCTGGTTGTAACCTGAGAACTAGACAGACAGAAAAAAGAGGGGTGAGTAACAGAAAAAGAGAGGGAAGGAAGAAAAACGAGAGAAAGAAGGGGAGAGACATAGGCACAGAGACAGAGAGAGAGAGGGAGGGAGAGAGGGGGGAGGAAGGGAGACAAGGAGAAAGAGATAAGGGATGCGTGATAAGAAATCAGAAAGCGAGAGAGAAACACCAAGTCTCACAGAGTGAAGGCAGACTGCTAGATAAATAAATATTACTGATCAGCTTTGTGAAACAACTTGCACCACAAAATCTACCTAGTCTGAGGTGGACGGAAATTACACTGTAGCACGGATCATGCACTTGACTACAAGCTACCAACCTGATTGCTGAGTATTTCTTCTTCTGAACTAGACCTTCCTTCACGAGACGACTCTCCTTCTTCATCCTCCTCCTTGTACCCATATATATTAAGTAATTCTTCTAGTGGCATATCACTTTCCTAAAAGAAAATAATAACTAAATTGATACTTTCATTCTACAAAAGATTTGTACCTGCAGTAGGCCACTGATTCTATTTTTAGCTGAAAGCAAATGAAAGCGATTAAACGGTTGCATAACATTAAGGTAGCGTTACCCTTCTTCTTACAACAGTGTGCTAGGACTTTAAATCGCAAGTAGTATATACTACAATTAATCCCTGCCTAGCATGCTACTACCTTTTGTAGATCGTTAAGTTCATCTTGGCAACTTGTATCCGATTCGTTCATCTCCTCCTCCTCCATCGTCCTCTCATCGTCAAAGTCGTGAATTAACATATCAGCAGATGGATCAAAGTCCTTATCTGTTGAAGCTAAAAACAGAATGGTGACTGAGATAACATATGACTAGTCATTACTAAACAACAAAACAAGTCAGAACACGCTTGTAATACTAAATTCACAGATCGACTCAATGACTCATCAAAAATGATATGCGCTTTCCGTGTCCCATGATAACGAATATCTCACTGTCTGAGTGACATCACAACTGGCACCTTCAGTGCGATGTCTACATTAACGCACGGTACACCAGTACAGAGCATGATGTGCCGAGTAACTGCAGACATTAAAAACAAGAAGACACTCACCTGGGCTAGATGTCCTGCTGTTTGTAGAGCTGTTGCTGCCAACACCTGCAGCAGAGCTGCTGCTTGGTCCCGCTGTCGTCCCGGCCGGCGCTGATGTCGACATGGAGCCCTGCTGATGCTGCTGAAACGGAAATGAAGCACGTCAATATGCTGCGACAACGCTATCTCATATGATTACACAATGAGAAGGGTGCGTTAACTAACCTCCTCTGTGATTAGACATGTTGCCGTTTGTTGGGTCCATTGCCATTCAATATTATAAGACTCGCAGTTTGAATTGAGAACTGATAAACCATTCACACTGCTCATGCATATGAATGTTTTGCTTTTGGCAAAAGCAAAACGGCGACGGTCGGTATGAACTTGATTTGAACATTTTGAAATAAATATTTTTTAATAATTTGATACATTTTTGCTCATAAAAATGAAATTATAAACACAAAAGCGGCTTTTACGCTGAAAAAAACTTTATTTTGACAAATCAACACGTCCGTGAGGCGATATTTGTGTCTAAATTATCTTGTATGCAGTCACCGAGGTCGGTGACCCGCAAATTCGGTTACTTGAAATCGGACAAGTAGGCCCTAACTAACAACACAAACCCACGAAAATGAAAAATTGCTTTCAAGACTAGACAAGATATTAACTATTAAAAGGTCGTTGGTTCTTTCGAGTCTCCCTGCAATAAAATATGAATGTTTTACATTTCAAACATAGAATATATTCAACGAAAAAATACTATTGATTGAGTATTTATTTACTGAAGTCCAGCAAAAACATAAAGAAATTTGGCTTACCTCCTCCATAGCGATCATTCTGGGATGGATAACCGTCAAAGCGAGGCTCGCTGACGTCAGAAACTCTGGGTTTGCAGCGCCATCTTTCGATCAGGCCACGTCAACCGGCACAGTTAGTGACTTCGTTGCTGTAACCCGTATTGAGTTTTTCAGCTGTTTCGTTAGACTTCTCCCGTGAAGATGGGTATTCGCCGACGTCCAGGACAGAAGAGTCCGCCGATACTTAGTCACGAATTCATTATACAGAACCATGCCGATATTGTATCGTGTGTGGCGATGGTATTCATCGTAGGTTTGATGTGTCAGTTTTCGGCTCCGTTTGCATCCTTATTCGTTGCGATGCAACACAATCATGTACCCCCTACGGAAGAAGAACTTCAAGAAGAACCAGCGGCCGAATTTCCGCAACTTTACACTTACGGCGTCAAGGATCTATGTGCCATCTTCTTCTATTTCCTTATCTGCATAGTCATGCATGCAGTCATTCAGGAATATGTTCTTGATAGGTAAGATGACGATGTCAACTTCAAGGAAGTAAAAATCACTTCCAGGTTGTTTACCGTGGATTGCCTTTGCAGGTGCTAACATATGGATCCAGGTTAGCCAAGGTTTACCTTGTGTGGGTGCGTTGTGTTTAGGTACACGCGTATTCACAACCTTGCTTCGTTTGATTAAGCTGTGTAAACGTGTTAATATAACATTAATAACAAGCACCGAAATGATTTTGAAAACCACTTGTTATATAAGAAATACCGTAATACCTTTCCCTGCGCTGCATGCTATGTCACTATGTCAGTATGTGTGTGTGTCAAATGGCGGTGCCTGCTTGTACTTGCTATTTTATTTGTATCCACTGGAAAACATTGATTCAGTTATGTACAATGTGGTCCATATTTCATTGCATATGTAAGCATAAAGCATTGTGTAACACTATGACCCATTTCAACAACTGGGTCACAGTCCATATTGTGAGCCATTGCCGGTGAAAAACTAGTTTCTATACGTGCATCATGCCTTGGAAGTCGTCTAGCAAAATGTGCAGATGACTTTTTGATATAACCTATGTACCCTCGATTCCTGATTACCCCTAGCGACCGTTTTTTAACCATGTAGTCAATATATTGATAAAACACCGATGCACCTTTACCATGGCTGAAGTGTAATCAATAATGCCCTCATTTGTGATGACATGTCTGTTATTTCCTCATCTTTATGTACAGCACATTTTTTGACCAGCACTTTCCTAAACTGATATTAATCTGGCCCAGTACTACTTTGATACCCTCCATATGTATCCATAATTATTGTCATACATCAATACCATATCTTTTTTCATAACCCTAACATTGTTCTGACCCCAGTGCGTATGTACACGGGTCTTGTAGTAGACCAACCCAATTGATGTGGTACTGAATTTGCATCCCTAGAGTTAGAGTCGAGGATAAATGGGTAGAAATAGGCCTGGCCTAACGTGTCACCCATGTCTGACGATTTCATGAATCGGTCGATTCCGGCCTTGAATTCGTTGGTCGTGGTTGCCGCGACTACACTCAATGCCTTTGCTCCTTACTCTTTGCGAATCGCAGGCTGAACAGGCGCATGCACCTCTCCAAAGTGAAGCACTCCAAGTTCAACGAGTCCGGACAGCTGCTGGCTTTCTACACGGTGTCCGTCATCTGGGGCATCGACATCATCTTGCGCGAGAAGTACGCTCACTACATCGGCGTGCTCTGGGAGGGATACCCGCACAACCTGATGCCGTTCGTCATCAAGTTCTTCTTCATCGTCCAACTCGCATACTGGCTTCACGTGTTCCCCGAGCTCTACTTCCAGAAGACGAAGAGGGAAGAGATGGCCGCAAAGGTTCGATTTTTGGGGAAGCTAGTTTGGGGAGCTGCAATGTAATGAGCTGCAATATAATGAGTACAATGTAATGAGCTGCAATATATTGTGCACGAGCTGCAATGTACAATATAATGAGCTGCAATATAATGTACATGAGCTGCAATGTAATGAGTACAATCAGCTGCAATATAATGTGTACGAGCTGCAATGTAATGAGATGCAATATAATGTGCATGAACTGCAATGTAATGAGTACAATGTAGTGAGCTGCAATATAATGTGCATGAGCTGCAATGTAATGAGTACAATGTAGTGAGCTGCAATATAATGTGCATGAGCTGCAATGTAATGTTAGTAGGTTTTTCGACTGCAATTCGCATTAGGCAGTGAAAAGATACTGCACGTGCATAACGAATTGAGCATACGTAAGTTCGCGAAATATGCGCGTACCAAAACCGCATATATCATTAACTAATGTATACCGAATGCCTTCGCCTCAATCGCAGCTGTCAGCAATGTAACACGCCAGTTTTCACTCGTAAATATGGTGCGGTCTCGATTCCAAATGAACTAGGACTAAGCGCGGAATAAACGAATGCGACTAACGGGCTCCGCCGCCGCGTTTCCTTCCAGGTCCAGTACGGACTGCTGTACCTGCTATTCATCGGCACCGCTTACATCCTCAACTTCACGCGCGTCGCGCTGTGCCTCACCGTTCTGCACTACCTGGTCGAGGGCATCTTCCATTTCTCGCGCCTCATGTACTTCTCCGACAAGAACGACGTGGCTAACGTCGGATTCATGATCTGGGACGTGCTGTTCGTTCTCGTCCGTCTCGGCACCATCACACTGTCCGTGCTGACCTTCTGGTGAGTAACGCAGCTGGTCGTCCGCCCGGCACCATCACACTGTCCGTGCTGACCTTCTGGTGAGTAACCGCGGTCGTCGGTCTCGGCACCATCACACTTCCGTGCTGACCTCATCTCGCGTGAGTAACGCGCGGTCGTCGGTCTCGGCACCCATCACACTGTCCGTGCTGACCTTCTGGTGAGTAACGCTGCGTCGTCGGGCCCTCGGCACCATTCACACTGTCCGTGCTGACCTTCTGGTTGAGTAACGAGCGGTCGTCGTCTCGGCACCAATCCCACACTGTCCGGTGCTGACCTGTCTGTGGAGTAACGCGCGGTCGTCGGGCCATCGGACCATTCACACTGTACCGCTGCTGACCTTGTCTGGTGAGTAACGCGCGGTCGTCGGTCTCGGCACCATCACACTGTCCGTGCTGACCTTCTGGTGAGTAACGCGCGGTCGTCGGTCTCGGCACCATCACACTGTCCGTGCTGACCTTCTGGTGAGTAACGCGCCGCGGTCGTCGTCTCGGCCACATCACGACTTCCGTGCTGACCTATCGGAGGTGAGTAACGCGCGGTCGTCGTCTCGGCCACCATCACACTGTCCGTGCTTGACCTTTCTGCGTGAGTAACGCCGGGTCGTCGTCTTCGGACCAGTCACACTGTCCGTGTGACCTTTCTGGTGGTAACGCCGGCCGGTCGTCCGCCTCGGCCACCATCACACTGTTCCGTGCTTGACCTTCGGTGAGTAACGCGCGCGGTCGTCCCGCCTCGGCACCATCACACTGTCCGTGCTGAGCCTTCTGTGTGCAGTAACGCGCGGCGTCGTCGGGCCTCAGGCACCATCACCACTGTCCGTGCTGACTGTCTGGTGAGTAACGCGCCGGTCCGGTCACGGTCTCGGCACCATCACTACATGTCCGTGCTGACCTTCTGGTGCAGTAAGCGGCT